TGTATGTATCGGCATCCTATAAGTTACCTGTTTCAAATTTTCTGCTTGTTCAAAACTACGTACTCCCAATAGATCTCAGCTGCTTTACACCTATTGTTTCATTTTCTTTGTTCAACTTTTTCCCCTTATCCATGCTCCACCATACCAAGAAGAGACAGAGCTGCAGTAAGCTACTACCCGTGCTTGGAGGCAATGCAGCGAAATTGAGAAAAAATTTCTTTTGTATCCACACATGCTACCTTTATAGCTGGCTTTGAAAAGATCGCTGGCCAAAAAATTGAAGCAGTAAAACGATTTGAAACAAACAGGCACATGCTGCTTCGAGGTGAGGCCTTTTGACCATTTAATAAAGTAGAGGACTGCGATTCATTTGAGATAATGTATAGACGTTCTCTGACCCAATTTAATTACTCTAAAATTTTTAACTTCGTTTTTAGTAATTTGGGTGAAGTCCAAAATGCTTTTGACAAGCACAGCCTGTAACTACTAACAGTGTTAATGATTGCTTACTGACAATGCAAGTTTCACCATGCTTAGAGCAAACAAACATTGTTAGTGTTCTCAAAAAGCCCAAATTGTGGTGGAGGCTCTGACACCTGCAAAGATATTGATGAAAGGGCCAGTAATGATATAGTAAAGGCTACTGCAGGACGAAGGCGCAGAAGCGGTATTAGTTGAACGGACGCGAACGAGGCGCGCGCGTATCCTCACTGCAGTAAATCCTGCATCTCATGCGCTCTGTGGCTAATAAAACCACTTTTGCGACTAAAGATATAGCACCTTCGTTATGCAGCAGCCTATACGACGTTGAAATCTCGCAAAAACATCATATAGCCAGTTCATCGCACGCAGAGAATGGACGCGTCGCGTCCTTCAAGAAATTACATGTTTGGTGTCAACAGCAGACGGCAAGCAATGGAAGTGCATATGATATAAGAGGCGCCGGCAACGTCGGCATTGACGGCAACGCCTAAACCTGATATGAAAAAGAAAAGATTCTGACCCAAATGACTGGTTCGCTCAGATTTTTTTAGAGTGACCGCGTGTTCGGTTTAAGCGATTTGAAATAGGCGCGCAGCAACAAATGAGGCTAATTCTGTTGTTTGAGAAACGCTCATTCTTCAAATTTACGAGATACAACTGTTCGTAAAAAACAAACGCATAGCAGTAAGTCACTTTGAATGCTATCATAGATGTCAAAAATTGTGCTAATGGTGACCTATGAAAGTAACATTGCAATTTATTTTGTCACATGAAATCTCAGCCAACATCGACAGTCTTCAAATGAATACATTACAGAGAAACATATTACAACATATTACTGTAGCTTTTGCGCGATCTTCGAAAAATCCAGGCAATTTTTTAGCACTGTCGCTTATAGGCTACATATACTCGTTTGAAAAAAAAAAGCTACTCTAACAATTAGAGATATGCCATCGGTTCCACTATAATAGATTCCAAGCGCCGTAGCAAATTATTTTTCCAAATATGCAACTGACAGCTCTCGCAAACTGTCATATCAGAGCGCGCAGGAAAAAGTGAATAATGCAGAAATTGGACTGCGTATGGTTGAAAATGAGCCATGGACGTTCACAGCCTTAAGTTACTTCACCAGTTAGCATAACTTATTTACATTTGACTGGTTTGAAATGTGTAGTGAATATATCAAAATATTTGGATGGAATTACAGCTATAAAAAATAATTAGCAAGGATAGTGGCATAATACCAGTGAAAATGGAATAATAACTGCTCTCTGGTCGCCGACCATGACATCCCACAAGATCTTCAATTTCTACCTAGGAGATTCAGTTGTTTGCTTAGACCTGTCGCTTTTGCTAAAAAAAACGTTATTACCCTGAATAGCTGCTAGACTTCCTTGACAAGGCACTCAGGCTTCTATAGAAAGGTGGTACCACCCGATGATAATAACATGACAGCGGTTTTGTCTCGTAAAACGACGTTAATTGAAATTTTTAACGTTTTTGTGATTTTCTAAAAAGTTGGAGTATTTTTCAATCACTGCATCTTCTTTTGAGACTGTTTCATCTGCCATTTTGAAGACTGCAAAAAGGGAATACTGACAATTCTTTGTCTTGCACATTCTCTAAACAAGCAAAACATGTGTGTCTAAGCAAGGGTTGAGCTTTGATGTCTACATGGAGCTCTCCTACGAACTGCAGAAGGAATCTCTTCTATTCATATTGAGCTCAAGTAGTTAATGCATAAGCCTGAAATTCTTGGAAAATTGGCTCGCTCTAAATTCCTGCACACTATGATGAAATTCCGTTGAGATGAAAAAAATTCGGATGACATTAAGGGTTTCAGAAAGTTAAGAACCGATACTTTTTTCTCAGTGGTACAGGAAGAAACCATGTTTCATAGCTGATACCATTTTTACAAATTTTTTGGAAATCCATAATTAGAGATAGTAGGACTATGAAAAATCCAGCGCATTGCTGTACATACTAATGTATACTTCCATGTTTACCTCTTTACTCCGATTCCTGGTAAAAGTTAAGATTAGGTAGGTTTTGAAATCTACAACAATTCTATAATAGCTTTCATAAGCCTTTGTTCTACTCATCAACGCAGAATCAAGTTTCTTTCCTTTTTTTCAAATCTGTAACAGGAATCTGTAAGACTAAATTTCGCTCACATTTTAGCGCATAAATTTTTTCGTATCTCCTTGCCTTCGTGTTTTACTGTCGTTTCCAACGATTTTCTCGTGAAAAAATTCTGACCAAAGTTTGCAGCGGTTTTTCAAGTCTTCCGCTATTACAATTTTCGTGACAACTGTTTGATCCCATGATTGTCGCGCCGTCGCCACCTTGTCGCGTTTTTTACGCAATTTTATTCTAAAAAATCTGGAACGGTTTCCAACATTAATAACAAATCAGCAATCTGGTAGTTTTGTACATGCCTTATTTGAATTTGGCACGTTCGTACAATCGAATCGAACCAGTACATATAAAAGCTGATGCGTTCGATTTTCAAAATTATTATTACGAGACCCACATTCGTCAGTCACTCATCACTTTCTCTGCGTTGAATGGACTGATTATTGTCGAGAAACATACGCCTAAAGCAGTTTCACGCTTGTTCGAACACTTTCATATGTCCCTGGCAGATTGTTCGACGCCTCTGCTGTCAAAAGCATCTATGTTTGGTCTATAGGCTACTTTTTCTGATATTGCGATTTCATGCAAATCTGCATCCGTCAATTTTCGAATTTGTCGCGCGAGATACTATGTACTGGATTTTCTGGTTCTACGAAATCGCATTTACAATTTGCAGACTTTTTTTCAGTGGTGGTAATTATGGTCAAAATACACTCACTTTAAATTTGAGAATCTGTTTTTTTGCCATATGAATATTGAGAGTTATTGCTCGATCCCATAGCTTCTAACCTAAAAATCTCAAAATAACCTGAGAAAGAAAACAAAATTAATTTATCTTCCGTTTCTCACTTTAGACGGAGTTTTGATTAGTAAACCGTCTCCGGGGCTCTTCAGTAAGGAGAGAGGGTCCGGATTAACTTATAGTAAAAAAAATTTTAGAATGTAAACTTGATGTGAATGTAGCTTGCGGTCGTAAAATTGCATCAATTCCAAAAGACCGAAATTTTGATACCTCGCTCAATGAAGAAAATTTCCTTTTGTCATCTAGAGCGCTTTTTATCTTCTTTTTTCTTCGAGCTTGCAGTATGATGACCTTCAATTTCCTGTTCTCGTCACTTGGCAATGTTTCAAGAATATAATCGCATCTAGCAGCATGAAAAGCTATAGAACAATAAACGTTGAATATTTTTGTGCAACGAATTGACGGATGGGGGGGGGGAGGCAGCAAGTGCATTTTTTTAGAAAATTTTGAGTGTTGCTAATTGTTGCCACATCAGCATTTTAACAGAAAACCAAAAAAAATCAAAAAAGTATCCTTTAAAAGGTAATGTGTTTGCGGCGGATCCACAATTATTCTATCAAAAATCTGCCAAAGTCCTTTGAAATTTTCCCCCCAAATTTATGTCCGCAATCTTTCATGTTAGCATTTCCACTCATAATCGGGAAACTAAAATTTTTTGTCTAACCATAAGTTGCAAAATTATGGCGGATTGGCGATGATAGATAAGCTCTTTTAGTATCAGTTCCTTTTAGTAAACCAAATTTAGGAAAATTCATGTTTCTTTCTGGTTCCTTGTACCAGCAACTTTTTCAAAAACGGGAAGCTGCAAAAATGGTTTTGGGCAGAAGTTAGGAAGTTCTGAGTATTCCAACGCGGAAACTACTCCAACCCTTTTTTTTAATCTGGGTTATGCTTGAACTATATACTGCAAGTGTTTACGATAAATTTCTGCTCACAGTGTGAAGGGCAAAGGGGAGCATGAGGAAAACTTTACAGGGTTTTTCTAGAAAAATTGTGCGCACCCTGCTGGCACCATACTCCACAGTTCGTGCTTACCGTAAGCTGTCATTTCGTGTATGTTGTTTGATCAGTACGAACATGATGTTTACTATGGTAACGTTGCTAAATGAGCACTTTAATCCGATTAATCTATGAAACTTTTAACTGTGTTGTTCTGTCTTGATCTACATAAACGTTCGCTAGCAGACCTGCACCAATTTTGTTGTTTCAAAATTTGCATCTGAGCAAAACATTTACTCGTTTACTTACTGTCTCGCTGTTTAGTTGATTACATGTACTTAATCATTCAAAAAACATACGTAGATGTCGTGAAAGTGAGATAAATAGGAAGGAATCATGCCATTTGCCCTACTTCTGCTCCTACCCCAATCCAGACATATTTCATCTTCATCACTCGTACACTTCCTTCTTCGTTCAATCTTCCGCCTCCACACATGATGATCTTTAGACGGTCCTATTGTTATGTACTGTCTGACAGCAATCGTTTTTCTTTCGCTCCTGTACTGTGATTACCTCGTCGATTGGCTCCATTTACGCCCCATTTGCCAAAAAATTGCCCTGTGCACCGAACTGGGATTCATTCTTCAGCTGCTTTAGGATGCGACTCGGCCTGACATTGTCGCTCGTCTCATCGTTTCAAATCTTTCAACAATCAGTCATTAATGAGCTTCATGACATCGACAAGAAGGCAGTCGTGTTTTCAATCGCAAGTGCTGCATTTCCGTTAGGTTAGCTTTCTTTGTTTGACAAAATCTTAGTGACAGGCATTGATAAATACTATTAATGTAGAAATGGCTTTCAAAAAAATCCTAAAGAATGAAACTGAAGCAGGAACGTTTTCACAGAAAACCTTCTTTGAGTTTTGGTAGATAACAAATCCCTTGTCCTTTCTGAAATAAGGGATTCTCCATATGAACCTATCTGCTAATATATCTGTGAAAAATCAAAGTGCAAAGTATTGTGTAGAGAAAGTTGATGCTGGTTATGGTAGGGATACTGTAGCACCCGCCAAGTTTCAAGTTACCAGAGGATAATGTGTAGTACTATCGACTACTACCGTATACTATATGTGTAATACTGTAGTACTACTACCGTATACTTTCCTCGTTATTACTTTATAATAATAAGTCAATAGCTGTAATGGACGCGGTGCAAACACAGAACATAAATATCAAAGAAGTGCATACGCTTTGTTTCTTGATGCGTGAAGATACGGTATATCCACGGTAGGAAACGCCTAACTGTGCCATCCATGAATTTAGGCTGAAGGGCAAATTTACAGCTCAGCACAAGTTTCCTTCAATTTGATCCACATGTAGGAAAACGATAGGTATACGGTACAATCTAGTGTACGATAGAAATAAAGTCGACGACTCAGCTCCTTATACGAAACGTATTTGGTAAGGCGATATTACCTATTGCTAGGAATATGCTTATTTGCTACCGTATACTTCTTCGTAGATACGGTAAACAAGTGCGCATACGCCATGTCAAGAGGTTTTTTTGGTGAAAATTCGTAACTCACAAGCGCAGTCACCTATTTGGTAACAAAAAAACCACTTTACTATGGTTCTCTAGTTTGATAATGTGAAAAAATGAGAGTTCGAAAATAAGAAAATCGAAATTTGCTAACTCCACTTCTGGGACTTCCATGAACGCCATTTTCTCATAGTTTTATCACTCCAAGATCTCATTAGCTATAATCATCGAGTAACATAGCCAAGAACTTTCTTAACGTACTTATTGTAAAATCAAATTTTCAGGTCAATTTATTTCGACCTTATTCCTCGCATTCTATCCGATCTCGGCTAAACGTGGCCTAATAGCAGATGCATGGCTTCTTATCGTAGGATCTATAGTTACCCTTATACCAAGGTTTGTTTAAATCGATCTTCATATCCCTTTTCAAATATAATGAAACATTTTAGAATTATTGCCTTGACAACAGTTGCTACCGAAGCATACTCGGATGAAATTTTGTTAGTTTTGAAATCAGATGAAATTTGCTTTGCGCCCTAACCCAATCCGCTTTGTTTGAGTTTGCTAACCAATAAGCAGTTATACTGTGTTGCTTACGCTTTCAATGGTGCAGACAGGGATTAGTCAATGATCCTTATGTTTCCAGTTGGTCAATCATCTGCATCGGTCGTTTTTTGGTCGGTTGTGGAGCCGGTCTGGGCTTCGTCTGTGTGACGATCGTACTCTACGACGAGATCCCCTATGCGGCTCGACCGGCTCATTTTCTCATCCTCGGCCTTGCGTTCGCTTTTGGGACCTTGGTCATCAATGTTACCCCACTGATCAGCGTACCCGATCTGGCAATCATTCTCTTCGCTTCTGCCCTTAGTGCACTTTCTGGTAAGAAATCTATACTCAGGAGTTCGAGTAAAACCTAATTATTGATTTTTCTAGGAATCATCTACCTTTGGTTCAAACCAACATCGAATTATACGTTAGAAAAGTTTTCAAATGATCAATCGCAAAGTAAGGCCTCGTCGTTCCCTACGGCTCTTGTTTACGTGCTGATGGCGCTAAATGTGGTAAGTTTCACCAAAAAATTTTTTATAACTGTTTCAACCTAAAAAAGAGATTTCAAATATTCAGACGGGTGCAAATATAGTTTTTGATGTTTTCTTCCGAAAAAATTCGGGAAAAATAGACAAGTAATCTAAGTCAAAATTGAATTCACTCTCTGGTTTTATCCATCCGAAAATAAAATTGTTTTTTCCTACTGAAACGTTCGAGCAAATTCATCTAAAAATACTTTGAAAAAAAACTTACTCATTCAGAACAATTGGAATGCCTCAATCAAGCCATTGCCCAAGAGGCAGCTCAAATGATTCATTAGTATTCGAGAAATACAGCTGTAACTTCTTGCTCGCTACCGTACTTTTCTAGCGGGGCTAGATTGTCGAGTACGGTACTGGGCGAGAGTTCAGAGACAAAGTTCTTGGCCACGATAAAACGTGTGAGCTCTCACTTGGCCAATGTCTTAGCTGAATCCTTTTATTCGTTTCCATGTAAGAAATCAAAAACTCAAATCTATGTGGGCACTTCACTAATAAGTTCGAAACCCCCCAGATTTGGTTTTTAAATCAATTTTGCCCCTAATTAACTATATTTCAGAGCATCGGCGTCCCAGCCATTCTTGCCTTCTCGAAAGGAATTTTTGAAAAGTGAGTTTTTAGTATAATTTGAGCTTTTGAATCATGAAAATCAAAGAATAGCTTTGGCCTACAGGTTTGGTCTCGACTCCACTGCCTCTGCTTATCTATCAATAGCATTCCCCCTAGTCCAAATGGGCATCATTCTTATATTAAATAAAAATGTTTTGAACAGGTTCGTTGCCAGTAAAAATCTCGCCTCCGTATCCAAAATAATTATTTCCAGAAAGAGACTCATCGTTGGCGGCTATATTGTAGCCGTCTTCATACAAATAGTCCTACTTATCACATCACTTTACTCACTCATGCCTGAATTTGTAAGACTTTCCTTTTTAATCGCTCATTTATTTCGGCTAAATCTTCTTTTCAGCATCAAACAATCGCTGTCAGCGCGTTGTTCTGGATGCTTGCCGTCGTCGTTTGTGTACCATGTAATACCGCACTCTGTCTGATAACAGGTAATGACTGAAAAAATGCACTCGGATGTTTTCTAACACGAGGTCCATTAGTCGAGGTGTTTTTCTGTATTGGGGCAAGACAGTCTCAAGATACGTGGGTAGAAAGATGTTTTGATTTTGAAAACAGGATCATGAAAATTTACCATACATATAGGTGAAGGAAAAATGTTTTTGGGCGAGGGATTTTACCGAGGTATGTTCGCAATTGAGTAAGGTTCTTATCCAAATCTGGGCTGGTAGTGTAAATTGCTGGACCTTCACAGTATAGAAAAATCGTTACGGACAAAAGGTAGTAAGGGATGGGTTGAAAGACTGAGAAGGAGCAGAATTACGAACAAAAATTTTTTGTTACGCAAAAAACCTTCAAAAACTATGGATAAGTATGGTCTAGTCATCACACGTAGAGACAGCGCGCGTCGCTGCGTACGCTATCGGCGTCTCTGTGTTCGAGCGCTCTTTCATCCCTCCTGCCGTCTGCTCTCTCTTCCATGCACGAACTCTCTCAGTCGGACGCGACGGCACGGTATTTCTGCGTGCGATGACTTGAAACGAGATAGCACATGAATAATCATTTATATGTACTGTACACAAGTATAATCTACTTACAGAACAATTCTCGTCATCAAATGAGCAAATGTTATACGCTAGTCGAGGACGAGCATTAATGTGGGTGCTGGCCACCCTGAGGTAACAATTTTCGCCAACAATACACGTTCAAAATATAACAAAAATACTTTTAGCACTGCCTCATTTGCATACACGATGGAAAAATACGGGTTTGCTGTGTGTTTTGCACCATATGTCGCCATCTCTGCAGTTCTACTCTTCATCTTGATAAAGATATATCCAGAGAAAGATTAGAGTCAACTAGTCGATTGTTCGCGCGCTTTACTGTGTTGCATTATTTATTTGTTATTGTTTACTACTGTACACATGCAACATGTGCTGTATATATGATGATCTGATAAACATGTATGCAAATAGTCATGATCTTTATTGTTCAGAAGTGACCACAAGAAGATCGTGATAACCGCTCAGTTACTAGTTTTTCAAGCGTGTTCATTCATAGATACATTAGGCGTTCACTATGATGAAGAACTTAAAATCATACATAACCGACTATTGTAAACGAAATGCACAAAGTCGCGATGACATACCCGAATTCAGTGTTTGCGCCCGCCCAAACGTAACAAGGCTGTGAGTGAAGCCTCGCGACCTTCTTTCTGCGAACACGAAGAGGTCTGTGTTCAGAGAAGGTAACAGATATTCAAAATGTGGCACTCTAATTTATGCACTATAAATTACATCAGTTGAATTTCCAATAGAAATTTTTACAATGATTTCGAAGGCGGCGTCAACAGGGAGAAGAATGGAATAAGTCTACTTTTGGCCAACTTCTAAGAACTTAGTAGATGTTTAAACAGTCACTGCCGAGATAAATGGAAACATTTAGCCGATACTATTCCCACTTAGGTGAAAAGCTAATTTCTAGTAGAAAAGGGCAAAGGCGCCACACCTATTGTGCGCTACCTTCAAAAAAAATCTGTGACATTCCTACTGATTCGGCATAGTATGGTCAAGTACCGCAAGGCTCGTAAACAGATAGCAAAATTTGTAGTCGAGGTCTGCCTGGGCCGACCCTCAACGCATACGATTTCATTAAGTACTCCGTTTTGGCCTCCAACTGATTACACCAACTTTTTTCCAAACGGCACGTGGGAGTCAATGCTACAATGAGGACGAGTAGCGTAAAGATGAAGTGGGATACAAGTTTGTTGTAAAAGCAGAAGGCTATATGCTCTACAGATAAACCGCGGTGAGTACGAGAAAACCGCTATTATCATGTAACCACTAGCCCATCCTCGTGAACTTTGGATGAAGCCTGTTCGTTACAAAAAAGTTTGCCTGCTGTGATAGAAAACCAAGCCCTTAGTTTCTTGACACGGCTATCTGAGCGCAACTCGCCCGGAATTCCTGACAGCGGTGGAGATGTACCAGTATTGATAAGGCGAACGACTATTAGGCGTTTAATGCAAGCTGAGTGCATTGGTTCACTACTCTCGCCTCTGCAAATCAGTGGACGTGCTGAGAGTTTTTACTTCAACAGACGTTTCCGAAAATAACATAATTTGCAGTCACAAGTATCACTTTTACAAATTCTAGTCGGAATATCCGCTTCTGCTCGTCTCTATGATTACAGTTTCGCATACGGAAAGAGTGGAAGAGACCGCCCTATTCTCATATGATGAGTATATTACCAGCATTGAACACGTTGCAAGAGAGAGGCACAGTTGGATTCTTGCTCTCTTTAGATAGCGCAGACACGCAAAAGTAGGCTTTATAGTCTAAAACTGCAGTAGTAGACTGGCCTAGTCGTCCTAATCGTGGGAAAGAAAGTGATCCTGTACATGAAAAGAAAACCTTCTGAGAGAGCAAGAGTTGGTGAAGTTGAGCTGCTTCTTCTAATCATAAACTGCATTATATGTAACAGAACGTACCTTTATGTGAGAAATTATTCTATCTATTCTGTGTGCCATGACGAAAGTATGAGAAAATCTTTCATCAGCGTAGACTTTGTTATAGATCTTTTTTATGAATGTTTCAACCTTTTTTCTTTGCCCTGTTCCGGACAACCAAAGCAGCCGTTTGTACATTCCGTAAAATGAATCGAAGGGCCTCATACAACAGTATGTCATGATGAGTTGTCCGGCGGAAGCGAAAGGCCCAATTTAGAACAGTACATCTCGGAGTCAGCGAAGGCGTAGGGCTCCAATATGACACATGACACCCCGTCGAGGCCAATGAAGGCGGAACGGTATATATCCTGAATCTCAGTATACGAGGCTCAAGCACTCTGATTGCGAGTTTTTTGACTCCTCCTGCCAAATCAAGCAGATAAACTCAATCTTCAAACAGTCCTCAAACAGGTGCTAACGGAAGCTAACATCAAAATTCCAAAAGGTGAGCACCATGGTAATTGCTCTTTGGAAAGGTTAGTTTGCTTTTCGCGTAAAAAGTGATGTCATTGCATAAGCCATGCATAGTCCAACAGTATTGACAGATAATATGTATAGTACTCTCCAAAGGCAATGGCCAGCATCATGGCTCAGAAATGGCCATAAAATGCCAAATTGTGGTTTCAGCGAGATAACAGAATATATAACAGGATTGTGTTATAATTCTAACAGCAGAAGCTAGTTGAACACACCTTCAGAATTGCCACAACCCACCGCGCAAGCTTAGTCAACATTAAGTACGTGTACAACCAAGGCAAAATCATGTATCTGCAGAGTTCTGCTCCAGCGAAAACGCTCAAGACATTGAAAGAGACTCAAAATGAAAAGATCACGTATATGTCACTTCAGGCATAGTTCGTGAGTATCGAGTGAGTCAAAAATTACATGGGTTTATTATTCCACCACAAACATCATGCTATTCCACAGATTAATGTACTTTTAAGGAGTTCAAGCGTCTTATTTGCGCGAAGACGGGAGGTTTGACTGTCTAACAAAGGTGATAAATGCATGAAGCGTGCGCGAACAGTTAGTCAGCTATCTCTTAGTGAATTTTCAAGGCACGATTGGCTGCCCGCGCATAGCGTCGGATGTAAAAACTTCTTTTCTCCAACCGTAGGTGCTTCCAAAATGAACTTATTCTGCAGGTACATCTATCACCTTTACAATTCTTAGCTAGAATATCCGCCTCGTACCCTATGATTATAATGTAGTACAACACATCCTCTAATCTCACTTCGTCTAAGATTCTTGTCCCCCTCTAAATGCGAGTTCCCAGCTCCTTTAGTAGAGCTTTTCAGAGTAGAATGGATATCTGAAGTATTTAGATAAGCTTTTTGAAGGAATGTCGAAACTGAAAACGCTTCTGCTAAGAAAAGCACATTAGGTCAGTGAAAATATATCTGCCTTCTGCAAAAGTAACTGGAGACAGAAAGTGATGATGAGGTTGATCAGAGTGAGTCATGAATCAACGCTTGAGCTGAGAGATTTTACGACATTGTTCGGAAAAGATTTTTGAAAAGGATGCAAATTTGCTGTATTTCTGCTGGGGAAAGCACAACAGGTTAGTAAAACATTCCTGTACTTTCTGCAAAAGTCGGTGGAGACAGAAACAATGCGGTGACCAGAATAATGACACGTATCACTGCATGAACAGAAAGATGTTTACGACTGGCTTGAGATGACCAGTGGAAAACAGTTGATCTCACAAAACTCGGCATGTGGTCTCACGAATGGCATCGTCCCAAAATCTTACGAAATTTGGCATCGTCTCAAAAACTTGGACAAAAATCAATCATTTCAGCATAAAGCAAAAAGGCAATAAATTTGACAGTAATTCAAAAAATATTCCACGTTGGAACACAAACAAGATACAGTACATTTCATCATGGAACAGCAATTCAAGCGCCATCAGTATATTTCATCATCATAGGGCGGTGAATATTCCCGTCTGCTGTCTCCTTATTTGCCCTGAGCCATAGAATCTGAGGGAGTGGAACAGCAAGCAAGTTTTCATTAGGGACTGGCTATAGGTTGCCGGCAGCTGTTGGGGTTGCAGGCGTTGTTTGGGATCGCCGAGGTTGCCGGCGCTGTCGAAATTGCCGGGTGTAAGAGAGCCCATAACACGCAAGGAGTACTATGAGGTCCTACAACGAGCGGCAAGACTTGCAATCTTGGCCACCTCCACAACGTCGGCAATCTTGACAACACTTGCCGACAATGGCTGATCCCTTATATATTACGTAGCAGTATTAACGCGGGTACCAGAAACTCTTAGGCTTTGGGCTCGTAATGAGAATTAAATACACAAGTGCGGTGGTTCAGATTTTATTGACGAAACGATACAGCGAGCAGCGAGAGCAGTGTACTTGATGCTTGATCAGATGAAGGGTGATGAAGGGATGCATGTCTTCGGCCACGCCTATCCCGGTACGGTGATATTCTCTCCGTGAGGGCGACAACGTGCAAAATATGTATAACATATGAAATACAAATGCATGTGTAATACCATGTCAATTTTGTGGCGTACTCGATTGGGTGAAGTCGGGGTAAGTTGAAGAACTGTTGATTGCTGGAAGCGGACTGGGGATGATTTACGTTGAACTGCTGTTAAACTTTGTGTTGGACTTGGGCTGGAGTTGGGCTGTGGGCTGGAGCGGGATGGAGGCGGCTGGAGCTCGGCTGGCGTTGGATTTTGATGGTTGGAGACGGCTGGGGCTGGGCTGGCAACTTCAAGGCTTGATGGCGGGTTGGAGGCGGAGTAGAGATGCTGGAAGTGGGCGGCAGGCGGACTTCAGTGGCGTGGACGTTTTGGTGCAAGGTGTGGGGTTTGCCTGCTGGAGCAAAGGAGGAAATTGCGGCCAAAACTAATTTTCCACACTTCAGTCCACACTCATCCTGCGCTGAGAGCCCCATCTTCGCGGCCAGGGCAGCCTACGCAATGAGGTCTTTGAAACGAACGTACCTGCCAAAAAGGTGGTTGTTCAAAGGCGGAACATCTTTCTGTTCTCACAAGAAAATGATCAGAAGTTGAAGTGGCCAGTCCAAAAAAGCTGCATACAATACCGCTCACATGACGTGCAAAACTTCCGTGAATGTCGCGAAATTCCAGGAAGCGTGGATTTTCGCGAAACCGTGGATGCGCACGAGCTTTTGAAAGTAGAGCATATGACGTCATAAGAGACTTTGAGAGAGGACTCACGCATCAAAGTACATTGCTACGATCTTCATTTCCATTAGCCTGCCTAGCAATCTTATCAATAATTTCAACTGCCGCAGCCCATCAGATAGAAAGCTGCTCCAAAATCTCCTGCCACAACCGAAGAGTATATATCCCACCTCAGTACACTTCCTTCCAACTATGTACCAATGAGAAATGCATGACATCAAAGAACTCCACTTACGCCACTTCCTATGCTATCCCCACCTCGCCACATAACAATAATGTCAAAATCGAAATCACTACGGTAACCAACAATGGTAGCCCAAAATTCGAAAAATACTGCGCCAGACCCGACTCCTGCGACTCCTGCGAGGTATGATTACTTCTTATCAAAAGTAGGCTCGGAAACCCACACTGCTTCCCAACTGCGGCAGTAGCCATATTAGCGGTCTGCTTTTACATTCTAGTTCTCAAAGTGATAGCGACCGTACACTAACAATAACGGTACGCAAAAAGGAAGCTAACGCGATAGGATCACTGCCACCGACCTCTACGGCTTCGGAACATCACCACATCTTCGTTCCGGCGCACCTGCCGCATAGTGTGGTTGTCCTGAGCCTTACGCTCATGCTGATTGTTTCCTCAGCCGCCTATCAGAACGGATACACCCGCCACTCCGCTAGTATTGTGTGCGACAAAGGTTCCTGCAACTATCATTACAGTAAAGAACTGTTACTTAATCGACTAATCAACGAGCTTTGCATCGAAATACATCACGAAAACAAAACGACTGCAACAGTAAAGGTCTTTGAATCAATGTCAATGACATGCTCAAAAGTGATAGAAACCTTCACAAGAAGCACAAGAACCCACATATACTAGGTGGGGAGATGCCCAGAAGCGGGTTGATGCACCCTAACTAGGTGCCAAAGCATTAGGCCCCATGATTCTCCCCACACTGCAAAGGCGCATTTTGATTTGGGGGGGGGGGGTTGGTGCGCTCCATAGTCCTTCGGCTTTGTTGCACTATTTTGGCGTTCATTTCCAGAGTCCTGTGTTCTGCTCGGTAATCGTTCGGCATAGTAGCTCCAACGCGTTCAGCTTGGGTGCGAAACGGGTGTCGTCTTTCCGGTCCAGGTCTTTCAAAAATTCCTGCAGCTCCGCTGTGAGCGGCATCGTTAGATGGTGGTCGCGGTTTACATGTACGTGGTCGTGATCTAGGGCGCTGACGTTTGCGGAGGGGTTGCTGGAGGCCAGAAGAGCGCAATCGATCAGCGTGGGCGGTGCGGTAACGGTGAGGAGCGGAGGATAAAGAGCTATTCCAAGTGCGCCTATATATATGGTTAAGTGATACTATGCACCCTGAACTTTTGTGATAGTACCTTTCGCGCCTATTCATTGGTGGTTGCGCGGACCAATGGTATCGATATAAGAGGGGGGGGGTAAGATATGGGTCTATGTACATGGCGCAGTTTTTAACGACTAAGTCGGAATAACCTTCTGATTTGTACAAGTGTTAATAAAAACTTTATCTCTGTCTATTCTTTTTTTATACTCATGTCTTTTCGTTGACTCCGTTATCTTTGGTTACAACATAGAACTTTGTTTAAGACGTGATCTATAGCTGCGTAGATTAACGCCTTTTGTTAGCATAATAATCACCATAGGGCCGCTAGGTTTGATCGATGCTAGTGTCAATGCTGATGTGACTGCGAACGTTGCTATTTTCCAATTATTTTGGATAGCATTGATTAGTGGGGTAAGGTCGGGGACGAACCAATCTGCAAACCACTCATTTTTCAACACGAGTGTGTGTTCCGTAAATTCATCACCTTTCTTGTGGGGAATGTGATAGTGAAGCAATCCTTGGAGTTTTAGTTTACCCGACTTTGCACATTCCACCTCGCATTCTTCCTCGATCAACGCGTTTTGAAATGAAAGTAGCGTCTCGTCGTTGCATTATTAGGTGAGCAGTCAACGATGAATTTGTGGTATCTGCAATTGACCAAAACTTGCATATTTACCTGAGAGTAGCAAAATGTCTCAACTTTGGCTACCTTCTCGCTTTCATAGCAGGCCGTAAGTTGGCGAAGTGTTGCATTCCATTTAATCGCCATTTGTGAGGCGTTCATTAATGACCTGGAGTCGAGTCTAAATTTATAACAATTTCTCCATCATTTGTGAGTGCAACTATTTCTTCGTCAACTTGTTTGACCATGACTTTGAGGCCTGAGATGGGTAACACGTACAGTTGTTGACAATACGTATCGGTTTTTTCTTACTGTGTGCATTCCAGACTTAACATAACGTGGATTGGTGAGGTACCGCATCACTTCGGGCTTGCGCCACGTTGCTTTTCTCGCCACAACACGCCAAACGATGGGTCGCAGCGTGGCGCAGACTCGATGCGATGCGGTGACTCACCAATCCACTTCATGTTGAGGCTGGAATGCATACGGTAGAGAAAACCAATACGCATTGACGACTGTAGCTAATATTGGAGTAATCTCAAGGATTCTTCGGTGCACTGGCAATCGCAATGACATTTGACATGGTTCTTGCATTTATGGAATTCTGACATTGCTTCTTTCTCGTTCGCGCTTCTACCGGTATCGTAAATTGTGCGGGTAGGAGATAGGCTTCGCTAGGTGCTATCGCAAATCTTTGTCCACTGATGTGATTGTGTGGGTTTTTGCACAAAAATCGCCCTTACATTACATCGGTCAAATGTGTAGGGAATTTAGGGCTTGATGTGCAGGTGCGCATTCTTTCGTTGGTCCGTGTCACTTTCACATCGATTTTCATCGATGGCGACCATTCGGCGCACCTCACTACCTCGTAAACTGCATCCGTGTAAGTCGTTTTGCTACTCTGTAAAATTGGCAAGTTGGAAGCGGCAGCAGACATCCACACACGGTAGTCCACCGCAAGTAGATGTGCGTTCAGAGTAACTTGGATACCGCTATACTTTCTTAAATCGCTTACCGTCTCATGGGGTCTAATGCTTTGGCGCCTGGTTGGGCTGCATGAAGCCGCTTTTGGGCATCTCCTCCATGTAATATATATGGGTTCTTGTGCTTCTTGTGAAGGTTTCTATCACTTTCGAGCATGTCATAGTCACTAAATTTTTTACGCCCTTTGTTGTTGCAATCGTTTTGTTTTCGTGATGTATTTCGATGCAGAGCTCGTTGATTAGTCGATTAAGTAACAGTTCTTTACTGTGATGATAGTTGCAGGAACCTTCGTTGCACACATTACTAGGGGAATAGCGAGTGTATCCGTTCTGACAAACGGCTGCGGATCCAATCAGCTTGAGCGCAAGGCTCAGAACAACCATGCTATAGGCAGGGGTGCCGCAAAGAAGATGTGGAGAGTGGTGTAGGAGCCGTAGAGGTTGGTGGCAATGATCCTATCTCGTTAGCTTCCTTTTTACGTACCGTTATTGTTATGTGTCCGATCGCCACCACTATGAGAATTAGAATGTAAAATCAGCCGTTAATATGGCTATCGCCGCAGTCGGGGCGCAGTGTGGGTTTCCGAGATACCCTTTGATAAGAAGTAAATATACTCGCAGAAGTCGGGTCTTTTCGAATTTTTGACTACCGTTATTGGCTACTGTAGTGATCTCGATTTTGACATTGTTGTTATGTGACGAGACGGGGATAGCATAGGAGGTGGCGTAAGTAGAGTTCTTTGTTATGCATTTTTCATTGAAATATTAGGTTGTCCCATAAGTCTTTTCATACCTGACTTTTCAACGACATAAATCAGCTCTTCTTGAACTCCTGATAAATTGCAGGGTACCACTCGACAGATCAAAGTAAGCTCTACAAGATGGCTCTCAAAAGTTCGCACCAAGTCCAGTCCGCAACAAGCTCCAAGCCAAAATAAAAATTTTCCCGAATTTCCGAAAAAACGAAAATCATCATATCTCAGTTCAAAACAGCTCTGCAAATTTACTATTTTTTCATGCATATACTCTCCTCATCGGATATTTATAAATGCACTTGCTGTATTTTTCTGATGGCTAGAAACCAAGAAAAAAATAATGCGCTCAATTTTCAAACTTTGCCTGTATCACTTCTGTATTCCCCGCAAGTAGGTGATTATATACCTTATTCGCTCAGAATTACTGCCAAAAATTTGCAGCCTACCAGGTGCTGTAGTTCCTGAGAAAAGTCGAATTGAAGGTGCGAATATGAAAAAACTTATGGGACAACCTAATAGTTGGAAGGAAGTGTTGCGAGATGGGATATACTGAGGTGGAGGGGAGAGGGGTGGGCTTGGTAGGCCCAAGCCTCTGAGGGCCGCTTAAAAGCAGCCATTTCAAACAAACTGAGAGCATCAGAAACTACGTAAACAGCAGAAACAAAAACGAAACGAGAGTTTCCATAAAAATTCCAGATTTCCCCGAAATGATTGAAGGAGCCATTCTAGCGGAGTCATCCGCAATTGTCCACAACGCAAATTCACAGATGCCGTCAGCAAAGGTGCCAGCACCTCGATGTGGTAGGGGCACGTTAAGATGCCGGCAGTCTTCTCTATAAAAAAAGCACGCTATTTCGCGTGCACTCTGACTTGCTGGCAGCTGCCATCCCGCGGATTTCGACGAGCTGCCAACAAGTTGCTGGCAACTGACCTCGCGAAGTTGCCGGCAGCCCCTCCTCCGCTTCAGAAATATTTTGCTACAAAAGGATTTCTGGAACGCATTTCGAGGTTCTTATAAAGCCGAGGCGACATCTCCATCGAGAAAATGTTGTGGAAAAAGGCCTGGAACGGCCTAATTTTGGAGTTTTAGTTTCTGGCAATCCCACGGAAAGGTGCCAGCGACCTGCCGACGAGACCTGCCGCCAGGTCGGGGGGGGGGGGAAGGATTACTACCAGCGCAGAAGTCGCTCAGACTTTGTCACAGGAGTTTTTGATATGCTGCTTGTGGATATACTCATTATGTTCGGTAGGGCATTCATGTTGCACCTATCTTTAGTAGCAATAGTTCCAGTGCGCATATCGCCACAGTTTACTTGATAGGGTATCCAGCACCTCTGCGTCTTTAGAAGCGGATTTACATCCATTCCTTCATTTTCAAACTGGACTTAAAAAAGATGTTTTTTGAATTTTCACGCACTCAAAAGTGCATTTTACCACTGCAACGGATAGCCAGATAAGCGGAAAAACCGGAAATTTTTGTCAAGAATTGAATTTTTAAAAACCTTTCCTATGTAGGATCGTTAAATTTAAATCGTTAAAGGACAAAAAAACTTTGCAATTAGAATCAAGTTTAACTTGGTCACTGAATCGATCAGGACATCGTAGATTTTATATACAGTGATTGGTGCATTTCACATTCCAAAAGAATTATCTTAATCTTCAGATGCATGAGTTAGCTGTTTGTGTCGATTAGAATTTTAAGCGTCTCGATTACTTTTTGGTTCAGATCCACGTCTCGTACATTTCCAAGACAGACAAATGCATGATTTCGCTGAAAGCTGGAAACGAAATCGCTCTTCTGGGCCATCAGAAAGTGATCCCGACTGAAGGTTTTTGAAATCTGTGCAAAGAATGTTTTCGTGCTTGTGCATGGATCTGGAGCTGGAACTTTTCTCTCAAACAGCCTACTTCACAATGACGCACTGTGCTGAATTTCCTATCGAATCATGCAGTAATAAACGCTATCCGTGACTCGCCCTATGCTGTAAATTGAAGTCAACTCTACGGACTATTAACTGTAGCTAGGCAAAAAACTTTGTGGAAAGGGAGATATCAACCAATTTAAAAGTGTAATTTACTTTGGGACACCCTAACGCTGGTACACAGAAATATTAGGGTGGTCGGGAAGTAATGGGACAGCTTGATTTTTCTACATTTTGAGAATTTTTGTTTCGCTCAACAAAGAGCAAGCAGTAACTCAAACTTCACTTAAAACGTTGCGGACGGTGCTGCACATGGTGCAGCACGCAACTTTGAGGGATCTTTTTGAATCTTTTTGCTTACAGAAGGTTTTCTTTCAATCCAAGGTTATCAAGTCAAAGTTCTGAGCTCCTACTTTTCAAATTACTCTGTAGAGCTGTGCTGCCGATATTTGTTTAGGAGATACGAGGGCGAATCGAACAACAGTTGCAACAAAGTGCGGCAACGCGCGCGCGACGTCCAACTTTTCTTTGCTGCCTTTTCAAAGAGAAAAACCGTAGTTAACAATGCCGATGTGTCCGTGTGCAACATAAATACTTTTATATACTATTTAGAAATTGAGTTCTTATTCCTATCTTTCAAGAAAGCACAGAAGTCCTTCCGAATAACAAAATTCAAACACGAATTCACTCAGAACTTCGGATATGGAGCTTATCCGACATGCTGATTATAGATGTAGCACACAGTCTACGAAATAAGCTCCCTCTGCTGGCTAACGGCTCGGAAGTGCACTCTTTTTCGCCGCGCGCAATTTCGCGGTCCGAAACGTGTTAAATAAGCGACCTTTGCCTATCATTCTGGTAAAGCGCTACCAGTCCTCTCTCACAACGCTTGGCGTGGCGCCTCGGAAAACTCGGACAGGGTTTTTGAATATCGCTCAGCCTTGCGCTGCTATACTGTAAAGTCTTGATGCAATTAGCAAACCATTCAAAAGAACGCTTCAAGCTCTCTCGAACGGTGTATCGTGCATTCGAAACTTTTCTTTGTTTTCAGGTAGAAAAGGTGATGAACTTGTAAATTCGCTATTTTTTGACGCAATGGAAGGCCAAGAATCATGTTTTAGCCTAGACGTTCCGATGATGTACGAAGGTTGAGGTCAGGGTCAAGCGTGTTGATGCGATACTGGACCCTCTTTTACGACCCCCCTCCCTTTGAAGGTACCCATCCGTACGACCCCCCCCCCCCTCCCCTCCTCCCTCCCCCTCCCCCATCTATCCCCCTTACCTCCCCTGCCCACATTTCTCGCGGTAACCTTCATAAACGAATGTCAATCTCAAAAAACACCTGCATGAGAACTTCAGTGAGGTTCCGGAAGCAGAATTACTAGGCCAATGGGTGCGCCCAGCATCTCTAGCACATATACACACTTTCAATGATGTTTGAGATTCTGCAAGTTTACTTTTGAATTTTCAGGCATACTTCAGGCCAGCAAATTCGATTCCCTTGCGACACAAATTTTTACACGGAGAACCAAATGATATTCTTGAACTACAAAAGATGTTTTCGACTAAGAAGCTCAGTTCTTACCTCTTCCACAGTTTTTCCTGCGAAAAAAAACCGCTTTAGCGCCGTTCAGAACGACGTCAAAAACATGCATGAGCACGGTAGTTTGAAAATTCGTAACTAAGGCCAGGAAAAGACTGAGAGGCTGCAAAGAACAAGTTCTGCAGCATAGTGCCCAGACTATTCATAGAAAAAGTTTCAGCCCTTGAGGAGCAGCGAGCTTGAAAAATTTAGATCAGGCTCCCGCAAATTTAGATGCGATCCTAAAAAGCAAAAACTAGGATTTTTGAGCTTAAAATTTTGTGACTTACCAGAGAAGTTATAAAACAGCCTGAAATTCTTATGATAAAAACTAGAGGGATGGCCTCATATTACAGCAAGTTTGCAGCTAACAAGCTTCAATAGCTCCAGAGAAATTTAGATCAGGCGCAGATACGACCCCCCTATTCTCATTTTTTGCTACCATACATAAAATCATAGGAAAATCCGCAGTTTATAAAATAACACCAGATTTCGCACAGCAGTAGCAGGGCTTATCTAAAGTACATATAAATTGTAAGGGCCGCATAAATGGCATTACAAAAAGATTTACGAATTATTGATTGTCATCGTTGATCTACATGTGCGCTTTTGTCGAGTGTGCAAGTCTTCAGTGAGCCTTCGGAAGCAGGATGTCTACACCAATCGGTACATCCAACATCTTTATCACACATACATGCCTTTAGTAGCATTTGAGCTTCTGAAAGTGTTTATTTTTTGTCTTTTTGTCTATTTTTTTATTTTTTTATTTTTTTAGTCATGCCAGCAGGGTTCGATCCCCGTTTGAGACAATATTTTGCGGGAGAAATAGCGATTCCCATAAAAAAAGAACTAAGTCATAATCTTTTAAAAGCAGCAAATGAAGCGAATTTCTACGCTT